GACTTCTGTATGTTGTCCTTCGAACTGATCATTTCCTTTACATTTATAAACTATTTTCGATTACTATCCAAAGGTTATGATCCCGACTATTATTTAGGTGACAACACATCGCATTGCATGGGATGTCAAAGGGGTCCTGTCTGTCTGAATCCATGCGCTCCGAATCCGAAAATGCGGTTTCACTGAGCTTGACAGATCTGTCTCAGGTCATAAAAAACCAAAAAGGCATAGATAGAAATTCGTATGATATAGGCATTTATCTCGACGGTGGGAAGCACAGTAAAACTGTGTTGGTTGCGTACGAAAATGTATAATGCAATAACTTGCTAACTAGGAGAAAATGATCCATAAATCCAAAAACTATTTCGGTTGTTATAAGTTTGCTTGGTATACTCAAAGGCGATTCAAATGAGAAATTATGTCAATGCGTTCGATTGCACATTCCGCCATCACTGGATAGAGAAACAATATTTCTAATAATCCCGCCCTAAGCATTCCTTATTTTGGGCACATTTACGTGTTTGTTGCACAATGCGCTTGTTTCGGTGATAACCCTTGCAAATATCACACATTACCTAATTATCCAGGAGATATTAACTTGAAGACAAAACACTTCCAACTGCCTCGCGCTTCTAGTAAAATGATACTAGTAAAAAACCAAATGCTGACACCATCTCAATTTTCGTTTAGAAGGCATGGTTTATTCAGCAGTCATTTTCGCCATCATTTTTTGAAAGATTTATCTCGGCATCTGACTTAGTGGATAGCTAAAAATCGCGCGCAGAAAATGCATCAGGCTGTTTATGCCCATTGCTTAGATCACGGATCAAATCCGGATTGTTCTCACGCACCCGCTGCTTAAAGATTTGTCAACGCAAACGGACTACTGAGTTTAAATATTGTGGCATTCAAACTAATGTGTAAGTGTAAGAATAATTCCGTAAAAAGCTTTTAGGGATATCGTTTAAATTCCAACATCATTTGTTATGACTTACTGGCACTTGCCATTTTTGGATCGTTTAGTGTCACATTGGACGGGTTGGGCCGTACATCAGGCATAACTCAATCATTAATACATAGGTATATGCTACCAATTATACTGTAATGTTATATATGCCAAATGCTTTTATTTTCGCTACATTCGTATGGAGGATTAAAACAGGACGTTAAAAATAATTGCACGGTGCTTGCTTTTACCTTCTTGAGGTCTACTTTAATATAAGTTTTGTCCCGATCTTCCATATACAAATTAATTCTTTTTGGCTTAATTCACACCGGAGGTTGGTTACGCATACCTATATTCACTTGGTGCAAATCGCAGCTTTAGAGTGGTTATATAATCATGGACCAAATTAGTGCTTGACAGATCCCATAGGTTGTGGTGTAGTATAAGTCTGCAAATATGCTTAATATATATACCCGATTTGTGCCCCTCAAATTTCAGAAAGTTGGGCCAGTCAAACCACACTGGTTTGACAAAGAGTACAACCAAATGGCCCGACGGCGACGTAGACTATGGAACAAATTCGTGTTATCTGGCTCTGATGAGGACTACAATGCCTACAAGGTCCAGCGAAATCGCTGTAACAAGGCTAAAACAAGCAAACGCAGAAGCTTCGAAGAGGAGCTTGCAACTGCCGCAAAAACTGCTCCCAAGAGGATCTTCGCATATGTGAAGCGGCGCCTAAGGCCTATAGCTAATATCCCAGTGTTAGAAGGCTCGGAAGGACAGCCTCTAACCTCAAGTACCGATCGTGCGTCAGCATTGGCAACGCACTTTGCCTCCGTATTCGCAAGTGACCAGGTGTCTGTAATGAGTTCGACGAGCACCGCTCCAGCCGAACTTAACAGCCTGGACTGCAATATTGAGGATGTACGCAAGATTCTAGCAAATCTTGACGGGACGAAACCTGCTGGGCCAGACGGTATACACCCACTAATCCTCAAGTCATTATCGACCATAATTGCACCTTCTGTAACTGAACTGTTTAACAGGTCACTATCCACTGGTCTACTACCGGACGACTGGAAATGCTCAGTCGTAAAGCCTATCCCGAAAGGTGGTAACCCAAGCAAAGTGGATAACTACCGGCCAATCTGCCTGACGGCAGTTTTGGCAAAGACGCTCGAGAAGATCGTGAAGAAGAGCCTTCTGCAACTTCTCGAGTCGAAAAACCTGTTAACCTCCGCACAGCATGGTTTCCTGAAAGGTCACTCATGCATCACCAACCTACTGTTGACGAGGCACGAATGGTTACAAGCGCTAAACAAAGGCCAATCGGTTGACGTCATTTACATTGACTTCAGTAAGGCTTTTGACAAGGTTAACCATGCAGTGCTCCTTGACAGACTGAGGATGTGCGGCGTTGGTGGTTCGCTGCACAAATGGATCAGTAATTTCCTTATTGATCGAAAGTGGAGAGTCCAGGTGGACAACCATCTAACAGAGTGGTATCCATCGAGCAGCGGCGTTCCCCAACGCACTGTACTGGGCCCGATATTGTTTCTAATCCATATAAACGATGTGCCTCAGCTACTACAATCACATTGTGCTTTGTTCGCAGATGACTTGAAAGTGTGGAGAGTAATCCGCACACTCAATGATTGCGATTTACTTCAGCAGGATCTCGACCGCCTCGCAACATGGTCTGCAGAGGTTAACCTTCCGATCAACCCTGCCAAGTCGCAATTCATGAGGTTGGGTAAGTATGATCACGGCCGAACGTACACAGTGGCTGGTCAACCGTTGCATCCCGCTCCTTTCGTGCGCGACCTCGGTGTACTCTCACGCTGTGACCTAAAGTCCATTGACAACACGAATAGGCTGTACCAAAACAGTCTTCGTATGCTTTGGGCTCTCAGGCGCAGCTTTAGCATTTGGTCCGAAGAGATTGCTTCTCGCCTCTTCGTCTCGATAATACGACCAATGCTGGAGTACGGCACTCCCGCATACTGTCCCATCACCCGGGGCGAAGTAGAAAAGCTTGAGCGGGTGCAGCATGTAGCCACCAGGCTGATTCCCAACTTACGAGGTATGTCATACGAAGACCGATGTAAGAAACTAGGGTTATACACCCTATCTTATCGTCGGCTGAGGGTTGACCTCATCATGACGCACCGGATATTACATCTGGGTGATTACCCCATGTTGAGACAACTACTTCATCTGCGCACACAAAGCTGCACGCGAGGACACCGGTATAAACTTATCGTCCCGGATTTGAAGCGGGTCGCCCATCAACTCTGTTTTGAACGCAGAGTGGTGAATGTCTGGAACGACCTGCCTCAGCATATAGTAGAAGCTAACACAGTGTCTAAATTCAAGATATTACTCGACCAACAATTTGCGGATGCAAAGTACAGAGAGCGAGACGATAAATAAAGAGTTCATGTCCGAAAACGACGAATGATGCAGCTACACAGAGCAAGCTCTACTCGCTGCTTCCCACAAGTTCTCAGTTCTCAGTGAATGCAATATCGAATTGCATCAAGTGCGGTATATATAGTTATGATGAAAATTTACCCGGGCCAAAACCGACATATACATCTGATGCAATTGTGTGCAAGGTTTGTATAACAGCGGAACTGACAACTACATTGCCTGCCATGAGATTAGCTAAATCGTCAACAACTATCTTTCAGTGACGTCTTAAAGAATTGCACGTCCCTACGATGTGGAAGCTCGGGATCATCACTCCAATCTACAAAAGTGGTATCTGTGCAGAACCAGAGAATTATCGCCTGATAACCCTACTTCCGGTGATCACCAAGATCATGGAGTCCATGGTAACTGGGACGCTCACTAAGAACAACAAAATCCTTGTTCCGGACCAGCGCGCATTTCGCCAAACTCGATCCTTTAGTACTAATCTGTTGATAGCTCGTGCAAGCTGGACGGTATTTAGGGATGTTGCTGCCGGGGTAGATGCGGCCAACCTGAATTACTCAAAGGTATTCGACCACCTGGGTCATCGCATTCTAGTGCACAAACTCCAGACTTCTGTTCTCGGTGATCCCGTTCTGGGCTGCATAGGTGATTCGCTCGTTCATTCTCACCTGAATGTGAGGGTTCGCAGCACCCTGTCGGAACCAATGGAAGTTTAGTAGGGCAAACATCAGGGCTCTGTTCTCGGGCCACGCTTGTTTCTAGTTTTCATATATGATATTGCAAGTGTGCTCTCTTCTAACAGTCTGCTATTTGCAGATGATCTAAAGATATAGCTTGCTATCCTTACAGCGGAGCTTCACACAGCCATACAAGATGACCTAGCTCGAGGAGGTTTACATGTGGTCCATCGAGAAAATGCCGCAGTTCAAATACACAAAGCACAAACCTCCGAGCATATGCCATCAGATTACTTCCAACTACCTCTTATGGCCACAAATTCCACAGCGGGCTTTTCATGAATGTGATCTTGGCGTGCTCGCTTAAGTGACGATTAGGTGTTTGATGCAGGCTGAAAAGACATAAAACAAAACAAAGCAACAGTTCCGCCTTCTGCTTACAACCTTCGGAATTTTGACTCTTCATTCCTTCCGAATATGATTGGTGTGCAGGTGTAACCGCAAATGGGATAGGCTATTCAAGGGTGGCAACCCTGGCAGAAGCACGACCTCATCGCGCTCTATACTGCGCAACGCGAGTCAAAAATGTACGTCAGAATTTGGTCTCACCTTCCTTATCCACTCAGACTGAACACTCGTAAGATATAGCGGCCGTTATCGGCGTCTATGGAGTGATCTCATTATGGTGTACCGGATCTATAAAAGCCCTAACCATACATGCCATTCACCTTTGAAACACAAGCAAACATATCTCAAAGGGGTCGTCAGGGGTCATTATATAACCTGACATACAGTGTTTCATTGTAGGGAATGAAATTTCATCTATGCATTACAAAACATCTGGAACTCAGTTATGTGTCCCCCAAAATATACTTCATCGATACATGGGACCTTAAAAGCTCAAAAAATATGCAAAAAACGTAACCGGAACTTACTAAATGATACGGTTGCATTGAATGTAGCGCCGTGTTCACCTGGTTCTGCGAAGACTACTATCATCGCGTTTGCTGTACTGTAGATTGTGCGTTGGACTAAAGGCGTTTGCTGATGGAAAATATGAATGAGTTCAGCTCCGCAATCATGTCCGTCTAAAATTCTGACAAAACCCGATCGCGATGATAGCTGTTGGACATAAATAAAGCGAAAAATTTCGATATTATCGAGCATTCTTTTAGCAGGGTTTGACGGTTAAACTTTGGCAAAGATGTGTCAGCCCGACGAGATGAAATCGTGAGTTCAACTCTCACAAAATCTGTGTTTAACTATAGACGAATGGATATTGTTAAAAGTGGATTACTTATATTTGACAGTTATCTTCACTTAGTATGCTATCGATAACTTTCATCGGACCGCCTACACCATGTTGCTTTTGTGCACAAACGAAATGGTAATGTGATTACCCGGTCACCATAAATAACCTGGTTTTGATGCTGTGTCTTTAAATATGCAAACTAGGTACAGTGGTATTCAGCCTAGTTTTACTGTGTCTCGGGTATGGTGTTTGCAAGCTAGCTTGGAGTATAAACAAATACGGATCACAATAATCCAGCCTTATAATACTACAGCCACGGGCATAATTTCGCCCATTTAAGTGAAAGTAGCGTCTTCTTGATGATCTATGAGTAACTTTTAGCCGTAAGTCCTCATAAATTTTGAGGCACTAAATTCAATCAGGAAGCAAATCCTGCGAATTTTTGGCTGCTCTCCAAGGTGAGCGATTATTCGGCAGAGGTTGCGTTGTCTTATTAGGCAACACCATCAGTGCGGATTTCGGGGGCCTGGTTCGCAATGCTTCGTAAGCGATTTCAATGTCGCTTACGAAGCATTGCGAACCAGGTCCCAGAAAGCAGCACTGATGGTGTTGCCTAATAATACAACGCAACCTCTGCATAATAATCGCTCACTTCGGAGAACAGCTCAAAATCCACATCCACACCCCGACCTACGAATATTCTCATTTATTTCAAAGCCAATCCTGACCAGGTGAGGAAAAGTTCGCAGCAGTTGTTCTCCTCCACATTTGAGTGAACACAGGAATTGTTTCCGTTGCAATAGTTTACTTAATTTTCATGCATGATATTTCGAATCTTATTGCCGTTAGTTAAGAAATTGTAGGCGTGGCATTGGTTGCCACTAAGATAGCTAATCTGAGCGGTGCATTGGCGACCAAACGCTACTAAATCTACTAGTTTAAAATGTATTCGCGAGGACTCTTACAATTTCTACGTGAATTATTTCTTCTTGTTTTACCCCAGACTCTCTTATTTGAATTTTGTTTTATGCTGGGAGCAAGTTTTCCCATTTTCGCTCGTTGTTAGTTTCGCCCACCTTTACACACTATTTCGCATTGCGAATAAACTCACACCGACAAAGTTGTGATACATTATCTCGCGTCACATACTCATGCACTTTCCTTGATTTATGGCGTATTTGAAGACAAGGACTTATGGTCGCCTTACTAATTCAGTAACCTAAAGGCGGTTACTTTAACTGGGTTAACGTGTTCGCCTTATTATAGGTGATGGTTTAGTAGATAATTCTAACCCAATCTGACTGTTAGCGGCAAGATCCCATCATCACACACACGCTCCACCATGATACTCGGTATACTCATGTCACAATAAAACTTTTGGTCCACGTACCTTGTGAGCCAATTCATGCGGTGAAGTAGTTGACACATTATAATCTTATTTTAATCTTCTAGTAAGTTTTCTCTGTGATCTTGCATGCACTCATACTGCGCGTGTTGCCTCTATGCCATATCTCATGAAATGTATCATAACTATACCCCGTATTGCACGTCATACAAGGAATGTTACACATTTACCATACAAACTGGATAACAAAACTGTAACGGTGGTTTCATGTGTTAATTAACTTAGAATACACATATCATTGTACCAAATTACCATAGTATGAAACTGAATAACATCTTGGATGCTCCGATTAATTGACAGCGTTTACCAAATTATCTAAAGTAGTTGCTTTGAGATTTAAAGCAGTTAGTTGCCTTCAGAACTTTGAAATGCATGGTAAGAAGACGATATCTGGTAGATGCATGCATTTCTAAATGCATGAATCTACCAGCTTTCTTTTTCTGACCGGGATTCAAGATTGGATGCAACCTGAGGCGCAAAGTTAAAAATACAGTATACAGCGAATAACATCTAAATACAGTTGATTAAGCTCAATAAAGTGTTTGTTTTGCACATATTCAGCTTATGTTTAGACAAATAGTAGATGTTGGTTTAAAGAAATAAGTAACTCTTTAGTCCGCAAGCAACCTATTTTGATCCTAAGTGAAGAAACATTATGGTCACTAAACATATATGGGAGAATAAACGCATGCATCTTTAGTTTGTTTGTACCCCTTTGGTCGTTTGTGATCCCCTAAATACACAACCTATTTGTTTCATTTGATACCCTCCAGAAAATCGCCTTCGATGTGTTGGTGTTTAAATCCGTTCAACAATCGTCTACAAAACAAAGTCAGAGTTATGATGGGCGTTCGGTTGCGGTAACGCAGCCAAACATAGTACTTTTACACATTATCGTGTTCTCTTAATATACTTCTGGTTCAGAAAAGCTAGTGAGTTATTAAACTCTCAACTAAGTATTTTGCTTCAAGTATAATCGTACAAACGTCAGTTTGAGAACACCAACTAATACTGCGCAAGACACGCAATCGCGGTACAAAAACGTTGACAGCGAATATCCGTTATAGTCCAATATATTCACACAAATCTAATGAGATTTCCTTAAAATGTCAGAAAATATGTCAGAAAGCGCAAAATTTACTTCCGGGTTATCCGAAACGAACTAGTCTACGAACTGCACATAAAGGATCCACAGGGTTACATAAAACGCAAGTCACGGCTGTTGCCATCAGATGATCGGACATTTTTACTTGCTATTTGAATAGACATTTGTTCATCCAGACTGATAAATAAAATGCCAGTTTATATTTCACTTATGTTAGTAAACAGTACAAATGAATAACTCAGTTTTATTTCTCAGAAACAACTTTAGATAATCCGGAAGCTCACATGCATTACATGTGTAGATTGTGTGATGTGATGCTTGGCCAATGTATATCAAGTTCTTTGGTTCGTGTGAGCCCAACCAGCATTAGCATCTGTGTGTTTGGTTAATTCTAAGTGAAACCAACCGCATAAATTTGCACATGGATAGGACAGTTCCGACGCACGTAGCCTGTACACATTACCTAGCTAGCTGCTACCAAACGCTAACATGTAAGAATGGAGTAAATCCGAGCATGCTGAATCTTAATCGTGCCTATAAATGCGTACACTAACTTGGCTGCAGCCGGTTTGGTCAGTAAAACATGTGTCAATAAAATTCATAGTGCCCGCTTCTAACACTAAATTAAAGTATGAATACGCCTCCTTTGTGATATCGAGGACAATTTATGCCTGTGTGTATACTTTCGCACTGTCAAAGCGTAAATTTCTGCTGCAGAACACCCAGCCATTTGATGACCTCTTGACCTTTGATGGCGAAAACCCCGAGGTAGTTGCTCGATTCCCTTACCTTGGCAGATGCATTAGGCAAAATGACCGCAAAGCAACTGAAGTCCTTTCACGTATTGCCATGGCTAGAACTCTCTTCTTGAGTGTAACAACCATGGAGACAGAAAGGTGTTTCCTTCCGTCTGAAAGCCTAGTTTACAAGCCAACTGTGCTGGCCTTCCTAGTCTATGGGAGTGAGACTTTCCCCTTCGGTCTGAAGATCTGAGACACGTTTAAGTTTTTGATCATCGCTGTCTGCGGGGCATTGCTAGTGTCGGGTGGCACCAGCGTGTTTGCAGCGATGATGTGCGCTGGCAAGTACTAGGCAGTGATAACCAGGCCAGTATGTAGGAAGACAGTTGTGCAGAATAAGTTGCATTGGCTTGGGCACGTACTTCAAATGCCCGGTCGCCGTCTATCGAGAAGAGCCTGGTTTTGTCTGCCAGATATAGAGTGACACAAGGCTCGAGATCGACATACGTTACGTTGGCGGCGGGGAATGTAGGCAATCAGGACCAGATTGAGTGTCATCGGTCCGTCTCGGCTTCTAGGCTGGATTGCATGTGACTGAATTTTTTCTTGCCTCCAGAGTTTGCAGTACATGGCTAGCAGTTGACATCAGTGATGTGCCTTTTTTCGTCTCCTAGTGGGACTGTCTGGGTAACATGTGTTTGGTGCTATGTTATCTGTGGGGTAATAGCTGTTTATGAGGTGAGACAGAGAAAGCAGCAAGGAAGCTGTCTCGCGGATGCCACCTTATCTTTACATGACAGCCACCTGTTGCTGACGGTGCCTTTGACACTTAGTGCAAGCGTCTTGATTCTGAATATTTGCTTATGGCACCATGATATTACTTTGGGGCATACTCTCCCTGACCTGGACAGGTTGGAACTGTCTCGTAGCTCCTGGTTTTTCAGTGTTCCGAAGCAAATGTTATCGTACATCCACCTGTGTAGGCTCTTTTACTGTGGTTCGATCAGACCTTCCTATTGTACAAACGTCCACGAGTGCACTCTTAACAGACCAACGTCTACAGCTGGTTTTAAAATTTTTTTGTGTTTCGGCACGTTCGCGCGCTCACGAGTGTATTGCCTTTGCTAAATACAACAAACTTCTTGAACTCGTTTGAAGCATATTGTAAAATCTGCTTATAAAGTCCTAAACCAACTCTATCAGGAGCTACATAACGCGGCTGGAGTCAAATCCATCTTTCCTCACTACGTTCGCAAACCTAGAGCGCTCAGTTTACATTACGATTGGCAACCCCGAATGCACGCTACTCTCTCTGTCGGGCCGGAATTGTACATGTGCGCGCACTGGAATTTTCGGTGTAATATCACACGCGCGGCAGGAAGTCGATCTCAGAGCTGACCTGTGCGCAGAGTGATCGACAATTGAAGGACAAGCTGTAACACTTGTCGGAATTAGGACAACTGAATGTGCCCAAAATCCCGGTTAGTTTGCAGCCATCTCTGTGACTGAAACAGTGGTCTTTTGGTATCACTGCCACACTTTCGTGCATCAAAACAAGTTGGAAAACAAAACTGCTGAAATTATCGCACGATTTGAGTATTCCCATGATTTTACTATTTGCGAACCCGCAGTGATACTTGCACTCGGCGTCTTTGGGCAAATAATTCTGCTGTTTCCAATACACTATATGTGTTACCACAAATATTTGCTTACATAGACCATTCGTCCGAATAGTTCATAGAGAGTAATTGTTTAGCTCTCTGTTCTTATCGAGTATGTTATGAATCCCACAAATAGTCCACTCACTTTGTATCGATTGGCGTGTCAAGTCTGACTCCAAAGGCTATTGTCTCTACAAGACGAACCCGACTGAGAAACAGACCGGAAGTGAATACCGCTTCTAAACCAGCAATAACAAAAATGCTGTTAGTCTCAGTAATACAAGTGTCTGCTAGTATAACTGAACTATATAACAAAAGCCATTTCATGGAGGCAGAGTTGAAATAGCTTAAATGTCAAATAAATATAGCGGAACCTATTTTAAAGCTATTCACATGATCAACTTCTATGTTGGAACCATCGAAATCCCACTGTACTGAACACATTGAAAGGGCCGGAAAATTTATAGCTACCTTAGTAACTGTGGCGCATGAAATGATTAGTCGTTCTAGAAAGATGGTGTAATTTAATGTAGCTGAGAGGTACGCAGCCGAGAAACAATCGCTTGCTTTTATTAGCTGCCTCCGTAAGCGAGGTTAGAATGCACTGTCATGCGACTTGCTAACATCTTAATAAATCATGCTTGTCCTATGAATCCATTCATCCATTCGCACTGGACATACTACTCTCATGCCATAACTTGAAATGTGTCAGAATTAGTAGCCATTATTGCACGAAATACAAGGAATTCATTACATTTACCTTGCGAACGAAAAGGGAGAAATATATATTTATAAAAGCTTAGTTGTTTTGGGTTTTTACATCTATTAACTAAGAAACAACGAATTACTACACACAGTCTTCATAACATTAACCTGACTAACCTTTGGCATCTTTTCATTAGACAACAACATTTGGCGACCCAAATGAGACCGTTGAGTTCGAATGTAACAGGAGGCGCGAAATTAACAAAATAGGATATACAGTAGAACATTTAAAATATAATTAATTAAGCTGCATAAAGTTTTGTTTTGCAAAATGCCCACTTAGTTTTAATCGCACCGGAAAGGGGTAATTCGAAGAAGCAATGGATTTTGTGTTGGTACTCTACTTCACCGCCCAAGTAAAGCGAAAACGCCGACGTAAAACAACTGTGGGGAATAGTAAACGATAAAAACACACTTCTTACTTGTAGTTCTTTAATCTTCAGTTTGATTGTGCCCCCTCGGTCGTTTGTGATCCTCCAAATGCATAACGTGTTTGTTTCATTTAATACCCTCAAGAAAATCGACTTCGATGTTCTTGTATTCAACTCCTTCCCACAATTATCTGCAAAACAAAAACTATGGCTTACTGCGTGTGCTCCCTCCGCAATAAATCACATACATAAAAGTCTATTAGTTATGGTGTAATCGTAATGAGGTGCTAATTCAAAAGGTTTAAAATGTCCTCCTAGTCCATTTTTAATAGTTTCTGCTTACAAACTTAGAAATGCTATTTCGATAGCGTTAACAAATACACATACTGCACAGGATTCACCATCGCTTTTCGTGCATGTTGACCGCGGATATTCATTATGTTAAGAAACATACACACCCAACCAAATGCATTTTCATCAAATGACTGATGAACACCGTTAGGCAGCGAAAAGTTTACATCCAGATGATCCGAAACGAGCTAGTCTTGCAACTGTATATAAGCGACCAACATGGTTCATAAAATGTAGTTCACTTCTGCTGTTATATTCGTACATTGCCGCCAGAGTACAGGAAGTTGGTAGCTAGCGTGGGAATTGGTATGTATCCATTCAGAGGGAAAATATAAGCGATAATTTCTACTACTTTAACCGTTGTTTCAAACACAGCTGTCGGAGCCCAATAGCCTAGTGATCGTGGTGATAACCGCCAAGCACTATGCGCCGAGTTCCACTCCCAGCTCGGCTATTTCTACCCAATGAGTCTAAACAAAGCCGCAACCGTCGGTCGTAGAGTGCAGAAATGGGAGAGAGCCACACCGAAACCCTCCACTTCAGTGCTGGTCCCAGTGACCGTATTGGCAGAGGTTGACTTCAAAGTCAACCCACGCCATGAGTGAGATTGCGCGTCGCAATCCAGGACACATGGCGGGTGCACCAAAACCAGAAAATCTACTTCTAACCGCTGTGTCAAACACTGCTCGCGGAGCACAATATCATAGTAATCATGGCGATAAGCGCCAAGCACTGTGCGCCGAGTTTCACTCCCAACTCGTCTACCTCTACCTGATCAGTCTAAACAAGGACGAAACCGTCGGTCATGGAGTGCAGGGATGGGAGAGGGCCATACCGAAACACTCCAGCCATAACTTATGTTTCAGTTGATTATCATCAAACATTGCACACGAATAGATATGGTTTATTCATTAGAAACAAGTTTAGATTTTACTGGAATCTCACGTCGTTCAGCCTGCGAAGATTCTGTGATATAGTGCTACGTCGGGGTCTGCTATGTTCTTTTAAGCACATTAGCGCAAGATCATAATGTTCTTCGTGTGAATGATAGCATGTCAGAAAGCATTGCTTAAATTTGTACATGGTAAGGACAGGCACACCTCACATAATTTGCACACAATACAGGGCAAATTAATACAAGCTAATGGGAATGGTACAATTTGAAAAATGCGTGTACTAGATGTAAAAACAGAATTCCGATAGTCAGTTGCTAAATGTGCACGCCCACTGTGTACAGCCAGTGAGCCCTTAAACATGTGTCAATAAAATGTATACTGTTTACTTGTGTACTAAACTAATACTATTCACGCCTCTCAGATATGTACTCTTCCGTATGTTTGAAGTAATCAGGGTGAACGTAAGAGTAGTATAAACATAATCGTCGCCAGTGGTTCGCAAGCCTTAATTCCGGTAATGATGAAGATGAAATCAAAATGTATAAGATTAACACCAGCAGCCTTAAACTATCTGTTACTTGATAACGGCGGGACTACGCGTCTAATTCTACATCGCCTTACCTGACAGATTAAAATCCGGTGCTCAATTTAGACGTGGTTGCATTCCGATAAATCGCAGTCGCCTCGCTTTCAGTCAACTTGTTTTCAGTACAACACTAGCAGAGATCCTGATATATCCTTAAACTGCGAAGGAGAGCAAGCCTGTTTCGCTCCTAATGTACCATGCGCAACCGTTGGCGAAATCAATTAATCAACATTGAGAAGTAAATAAACTAGCTATTTTGCTTTGTAAACCACGAGTTTGTGGCACACGTGGTGAGTTGAGGCTGAAACATAGAGCTCGAAGACGTGCTGACTCGATTATTCTCCGCATATTTGTTTCATCTGCTTGTGACAAATCTGCGATCAGTAAATTAGCCAGGTGTTCAGCACTAGTCACACTATCAAAGCAATCCGTCACCCACTGAGGCACAAAACATTTAAGACCAGCTTATGCTAACTCCTTGGACAGCTTCTGTTCCAGCAGGCAAGGTAGTTTAAATGTAAAGATATGCGTGTACATTTCCAGCGACGAGGTATAACTCACGTAGTATGCGCTTGAAGTTAGGATCGACTGAAATAAAGAAAAACAGATTGGACGGTAGTTTTTCAATAAGCATTGTCAGCACAGAGAAAACAAAATAGAAATTTGGGTGCAATAGTTGCAATGCCAGTGTACAGATTTGCAACCCTCGTGCGTTTGCTCGATATTACATTGTTCGGTTTGCGTTGAGAAAGTGAGCACAAATGGGCAAGGGAATGTAAGTTCATCTGTAATAATTTGGGCATTGAGCATTTAATTTTTCTGCCGGTATATTGTGTATTAATGCGTCCCCGGAGCATCGGAAATTGCCTGAAATAACTGTCAGCAGTATCCTTATCCCCTGGGATAAAAATATATACACATATTTTCGTCAATTAGCGGTAATGGGTTTAAAGGTTGTTATATTGAAGCCATTGACTGGGAGATGTAACGTTATACTTTTCCTATCAAACTGGATGCAACGCTATTCTCAAAGTTATGCGACAATTGAGAGCAAACAAAATAACTACTGATTTTTGTTCGTTTTGATGCGGTTTGAAGTAAGTGTACTTCACTCAAATAGTAACCGTTTGTTGTAAACATGGCTTTAATCAACTCACGCAAAGCGTTCTTTTTCCATTGGTCTTTGATGGTTTCTAAAGTAAGGTTAATAAATAAATGTGGTCTGACACATATCAAATTAATACTCTGTTTATTCGAGAAATTGGAAAACGGCATTGGTTTATATGCAAATGTTTTTCATTAGCTCAATATCTAAGGTTAGATTAGTTAAGATCACTAACTAACTATGCTGGACGAATTAACTTGCGAAAGCAAGTAGTACGCCCTGGCATGTCGGTTTGTTGTTGAAGACCAATGTATTTGATGAGTTTGCGAATTATATTTCAAATGTTATTCTACCAAACTGCGACATTATCGAGGCACATACATGGTGGACGCTCAATGCTAACTATTACACTATGCTTTGAAGGTGTTTAGTTAGGTAACTTTGCACGATGAGAAGCATTTCCTTTTTTGTTTCCCGTTACAGCAAGACTAAACAAAAGGAATTGCTTTATTCAATTGTTATTTGGTTTACACCAATGTCTGCAGCTCCAGTTTTTGCTCTTCTATAATACAGTAAACAAACGTCAAAACGGATTTAAACGCAATTCATTAAACATTCCCATGCAAGCGCAATATAGATGGGTCGAGGTGAATATTTGAATTAAATCCAGTGTTCACTGCATTAGTTAGACGCGAATCTCACCTTAATCCACGAGTAAATTACATGCAGTACGATGTGCAAAAGGAAGGAACGCATGCAAAATTTCCCGTCCTCAAAACAAGCGATGGATATGAGCAAATGTGTGAACTATTAAGGTGAAGTAATTAACGGTGAGATGTCAGTCGGAATGGCTTGAAACAATAACGAGAATAATCTTCCTAAATGTTGAAAATGATATAACTTTCGACGCATTCGGGTTCGGAATTATCTAGATAGCAACCAACGAGCAGTGTGTGACGGCGCTTACTAGCAACATCGTGGATTTGAAACCTCAAGGTGTCTCGAAACAGGAAGCCCAGAGGCAGGAATGACTAGCTTTCATTTGAAGGTTGTCTTAGAAGCATGTTTTGTAAGCTAACTGTAACAGTGCTGCACATTCGTTTGCTTAATGATAGTTACTGAAGTTGAGACAAATGTGTTTAGTATACTGAAGCTAGTTGAACAATACTGCCGCCCAGCATGTCGACGAAATTAGCTTAATTAATCTGTTTCCAGTATTGAATCTCTCTTGCAAACCCAGCTGTCGTCTCCTCTAAATAAGTGTACACTCAAAGAAGCACTGTATGTTGCCCTTAGCATGTAGCAATCTGTTAACTCCCCATTGCCACTTTGAAATATATTTATGGTGCCCTCATGCCGGACTCACATATCACATTCGCCCAAGGAAGTATCACACTAGTACACCTTCTTATGTTTATTTTGTAAAGAATGCCTAATTATAGACGTTCCCTAAGTACTTTTGTAAAATCGCTTCTAATTCGCCCTTAATTCTACCGTTTCTAAACAACACATTTAGGTTAATAGACCCCTAAACAGCTGACTCATGTATAGTTTGGTTGTGGTTCCTAACCCAAACATTCTATGGGACTTTACAAGCAACCGCTGCTAAGTACGAAATATACATTTGTGGAAAGGCCAGAGAAACGTTGGCGGGAAAGCGAAGAGCGATCTGTCACAATTATCGCCACGTATATTTCTGCACAAAACATAAGTGGTCTATCGAAACGAACTGCATGCTGGCGCCTATCATCTGCACTGGGTATACGTACGAGTGGGAGCTTTAGTCTTTAACTTCAGTGATCAACCCAAATGCGATATGGACTGCAATTTTAACGCAATACATATGTATTCGCAAACAATCCTGTACACACCGGCAAAAGAGATATTCGCTTTGAAGTTGTAGGTCAGTTATTACAGAGTGCTAATTGCGTAAATGTTTCGACAAGCGAGAACAGTTGCTTACCTGGACTGTATCTGAGATGGAAACCGGCCCTCATAATTACATAGTTGCTAATGAATAACAACGACACTTTGTTCCGCTTAGAGCTGATTGACAGTGGTTGGTTTGGAGCAGACACAACTGTAAGCCTTGGTGCCATGCAGTCCGGACCGTCAAAAATGACCAGGTAGTCGAATAGGTATCGGCTATTCTGTTCTAGCTGAAAGTGTTGAAGGCATTTGTAAATTATTCGAAAAAGTCTGGATCAATTTTACAGGCGATGGTTAATATATTTTTCGGAATCGAAATTGAAATGTTTTCGTTAATTTAAACACTAACAATCTGCTGCTCTGTTTTCATAATTGCGGTGATGCCCGTAGTTTTAGTACTGTCTTGGCGACATGATGCTTCTTAAACACTGGTTGGTTAGAAAAGCTTTGGTAAAAAGGCCACATGCTATTGCCAATTCCAAAAATGGTTACGCATAAGCTTTCTAGAATACATTTAATCCCATCGTTTCACAGTACTTTATATGTCGGGGACTTTGGAAAGGTGTGCTCGAATGTGATTCGCCAAGTTGCGCTGGAATATGTGTGCGACAAAAACACTCAATGCATTCGCTCACTGCCCTACATGTAAGGTCGTAGTTAGCAGTTACATTAGGGCGTCAGGTCATATTAACGCAATCGTCGAATTTAGGTTAATTAGAAATTCTACATGAATGTTGGCTCCGTTGTTATGTTGTACCCAATGACTGTTGCAACATTTATTCAATCCTGGGATAAATCTTCAGTGATCTAATTTGTAATGTTGAGGTTTCCGTGTATAACGGAATTTTGTGTACAGAGCATGCATTCTGAAATCTTCCTTAGCTCCAAAAATTTGTATACTGAATTAAGAGACTGCTAATCAGCCGGGGTTGAATTTTGTTCACCTCAGGGAAAACAGCGGAATTCTGGCCGTTGTAAGAGTGAATTAATGTCACCAATTTGGACTGGGAGACTGTGTGTATTTCAGCGTTAATAGCTGACCGTAGGAAAAGAATGTCATTGGTTCCATTAATGGTTCCCCACAAATTCTAGCTATGTCAAAGCATTTCCAGATATCGGTCTCTTCGTCTTCCATTGACAAGCGCTCGCATAGTTTCGATTCAAATATACAAATGATTAGTGCCATTAAAATCATTGTCTGTTTGATGTAGGTTGGTATGATTTGGTCTTAAGAGCAGTCAGCGTGAATGCGAAGGGTAATATTTAAAGTATAATGTAACCAACTGTGACGCTTTGCTTCATGAAAACACAAAAATGTAAAAACGGTTCCTAAGTATTGTTTGATGGCAAATTTAGAAGCTAGAAGCTAGAAGGAGATCCAGAGCTAGAAGAGCACAGAAACAAGCTTGAGCTTGCCTCAAAGATTGCTGTCATTAGACAGCTTCGTTGATCAACTTCATTTCCAATCGAAATGCTTTACATCACTTGCGACCACTTTCCACGCGAATAGAATGTAAATAAATAATTTCCACAGCATTTTAAAAATGTCATCATACTTTATTTGCAGTCCACCTTATTGGAAGCATGCGCTTAGAAAGCAAGATATAGAAGCTCTTCCTAGTTTTAGAATGTTTTCGTCCGAGCTGCTCACAAGCTACATAGCACAGCCTAGTCCGGAAAAGCACCATACGTGTTTTGCCCCATTGGGGCTCGTCAGTGGTGCGCATTCCCTCGGTCCCCTACTGGAGAATAAACCCATGAATGCTAGAGGCTAGCGCCAACTAGCCAGCAGCTTAAGCCTCTGAGACATGGGGGGGGGACGTCGGCTGGGCTACACAGCTTGTAAGCTCTTCATAGTTTGACAGAATTTGCTGTACTGTTGCAAGGGTGTTCCCTAGCCTCAATTGGGTTGTCCTGCAGTCGCTAAAAGCAAGTGCTTTGCTTGTAGAGGTTTCTGCTTCAAGTTGTTTCCCGGTAGTCAAGTAGCTCAAAGGTTCACACACACTAAAAACCCAGTAGTTGGAGGACGCAAACAGGAGGTATATTTGTTGCGTTGGTCAGTGCCTCTTAGCAAAGTGAAAACTCTTCCAGTATTCTGGACAAGGTGCGAGAAGAATGAAAATGTCCAAGCCATGGAAAGTATGCAGGCCATTTCATTGTTGAGGCCCACTGAGCTGTTTTCATTGAATTTCATCAACCTACAAACCGGCTGGTGCTGTTGCTTATGTATCATTTGCTGCGTTCCACTTTAACCTTGCCTACGCAATTTTCTAAGAAATTTTGTTTGATTTATCGAAGAATCGAAAACACTAGACAGGCGGTACATTGCATAAGACGCAAAAGTAACGCAACGTAAGACACATGTGAATTTATAGGCTTAATTCACGAATACTGAGAAATAATCACCAAAGCCATATTGCGTAGCCATAAGGAATAATCTAAGATCAGAGTGATGGAGAATGCTTAAGCGATGAACCATAGCAATATCTCCAAAAGCAAGGTATAGAAAAGTACGTCTTTTTTGGAAAACAAGTAAATATAAAACAAAATGCAATAAGTTATGTGCAAGAGGAAATCGGTCAATAAGAAGACATGAGTACAGCGAAGAGAAACCAAACGGATAACAATAATGACAGTTTAATATTTGCACAATGAATGCATTTGCAACTGTCTATGTTAGTATAGTGTGGAATACACTTTTGTATCTAATACAAGTAGCTTATACTTGGTTTCTGTAGCTTAATGGTAACGAGTTTAGCTCGTTATCATGCGGCGTGGTTTCGAATCCGCGGAGAGGTCGGCTTCTTCTGGCGTACTCAGCTCATTTGCTACTGGTGGTGTTTGCAAGACAGCGAAATGCCGTTAAGAAGAACAGCTGACACATTTTACTTTTACAATGGTTAATTTGTTAGCCAAGGTAATTAACTGGTCCCATATCTTTATTATTATTATTATTAATCATAATCATCATCATGAGTTACCTATATTACTAAAATTTCGTTTTCAAAATCTTCTATGAATCAATAGCAACTAACTTGTTACAGACTTGCCTACATTAACTAAAATAATACGTCGCACTAAGGGAAATATTATATATGTTTTCCAGTTACATTCAAATATCTTGGCTATTTTTGCTCGTACACTAATCCTATATGAATGCAGCCTGATTTTCTCAATCCAGAATCCTGCGGTTGAATTCAGAAAAGCCACCTATTTTCAGTGAACTGATTGCGCAAAATAACAATGAGATGCTCACAGTAATATGCTCGCACTTGTAATAATGAAGTCGCATATCAATTGTGACAGGCTATGGTATTGATAATCAGACCTATTCAGAGTTTACCCACTTGCGGATCTGTGTAAAATCCACCACGTTTAGTAGCAGATTTTATAACTGGGGTTAGGCGAACCATTTACGTTAATACGTATCCGTCGTACTTTTATTTCAGTAAATACTGCTGAGTATCATTTGGTTCATATTCTACTCTTCATCCACTGAAAATGTGCGGTCCATCTAATCTGTTTGGATGGATTACTGGAACAAACTTTTTGTTGCTGTGTAAAACTTGAACGCATGAAGTAAAAGGTAGTCCAATAGGATTCCTAATATTCTGTTAATCATAGAGGCAACATACGTTCTAGTTGGTGATTAAAACCAAATTTCGTCCTTCTGACATATGCTAAGTTTCGTTACTCACTTCCACATCGACAAATTCTAGGCGAATTCCGCTGGCATTTGTAGCGCACAGTGTGGTAGTGCAGAACATCTTGGGTGGATAATGCCGAAGTTCAATACTTCCCTCTGATTTACTCGGTTGCGGAAGTAAGCAGTGACTTTGTATACCTACATAGAAGAAAAACAGAGGGGCTAATGAAAATGCAACCAGGTGAACAATCAGTAACCAAGCAACAAGGTCTAGGCATCCACCACAGTTATTTTCATTATGAGATAGTAACAACATATGTACTAATGTGAGCTGCTATATGTTTCCTATTAACTATTATTAGGCGATGACATTATGAGAATACACAGCTTATTTGTTTCACAAACGTCAGCTTTAAATGTTGATGCATCAGGAGTTGGACGCCTAATTATCCTCAATTTGTTATAATCACTTTTTGATAAAACTCAATATAGCTTGATTCTTGCCAAAGTGTGCGCGGATCCCGTGGGCACTAACAAATTAGTTTGTTTTCCATAACTGGTAAATATAGTCGTTTGTGTGGAGTTTGGCTAAAACTGACTGTTGCACATCGGTCATACAATCAAACATGTCACTTCACAAGCGTCTTACTGTACCCCAATGGCGTGACGCTTGCGCAATGCAGGCACAGTCCAAAGCATGTTGTACTTAAGACTAGAAACATATGTGACGTGTGCAATAACAAAGTATTGCGCAAATACAACGATGAACTGATCCGACAAAGGACAGGCCCAGGTTTCGTTCATATATCACTTGTGACTCCGTAACTTTGTGGTGCCTGTAGATATACATCGTTTCATCTTGAACATGAAGAAACCGACAAACTCTAACCCATATATGTTCTAATCCCACCCCTCGATCTGCTAAGGAATTAGTACCCATTATTATATAGAATATGGCGACCATTAGGCGGCAAAAACATCGCATTCAGGATGGGTTAAACATTCGTTAAAGCATGGCAAGATCGGCCATTACCAATATACTTCCGAAATTTGTTCATATAAAAGGCCTTTCTCTAACGATAGGTAAACTTGTAAAGAGATGCTGAAAAATATTGGGTTTCAACACCGATTCGCACTGTCTACTTAGCATCTATAGAGAACTTGTCTTGATTCAGACATGATATGTATTCTTTTGTGTTGTTTAGTGACCACATCGCTGCGATTTTGGTCACTATATCGTGTTTTCTTATGAAAAGATAATTCGCAACTTTGACGTGCTTACTAGGAATCTGTGCTGAGCAAAACAATTACTAATGCAACTTTTACAGCGTCATATAAAGTAAATAAATGGGCGCATTATGAAGCATTCTTTTGAAGCTGTTGATTAAGGGGGCGAACAATGAACAGTGATTTATCGTGGGATAAAAGCAAGTGCTTGACACGTCCCGTAGGATGGTTGGGGTCAATATGATAAAAGCAAAATATATCTGAGTCATCTACCTAACGTCTTACTAGATGAATACTTCGATAAATGACATCAGTGCAAAATTTATAACAAATCAGGCGTAAATGTTTAGAAATACACTGCAGTTCCGTAATCGTTGACGTAAGGCGTAAAGAAAGTAAAATGTGCTCGCTCACTTGCAGTCATTTGATACATAAATCCTGTAGAAAAGCATACTTGGCGTAATTCACAAGTGAGGTGTTTAGGTAACAAAGTGTTGGGAGCTAAGATTAACATCTACTTGTTTGTTGTAAACGTCCAATGTAGGAGAGGATATAACTGAGTTTGGGAGTGCGTTCCAGGTTGGCAAACCCGAAGGGAAAAGTAATTCCGTCGACACTCTAGACGGCTATATTGTTCCTTCAACTTTAAGCAGTGACCGCTTAATTGCGTGTTGTGGCTAGGTTTCAGCAACTGGCGGCATACGTGGTTGGGGTCACTTAATATCTGATAAGCTAATATGAGATCGCCGCGCAGTCTTCGATAACGTCCGCTGCAAATTCCCAGCAATTTCAGCCTTCGGCAGGCCCATTACATTCTTTGTTGCTCTTCGTTGAGGTGCCTCTAACGCCTTTAGGTCGCGCGTCAACCAAGGTTGCCAAGCTTGAATTGCGTATTCAACATACGAACGTACGTAGGAATTGTGCATTGAGTAGATTGATGGGTCAAATCTCCCGAATGCCCTTCACAACATGCCGACGTGCTAGTTGCCTCTTATTGCAGCTACTTCCGCCTGTGTTGAACAGTTGAGGTCGCTCTGTACGAGCACTCCATGGTCACGTTCCTGGGGGCTGGTTGGCAATCCGTTTGTCCCAATTAACTTGTTGTAATTATGTCTATGGCGTAATTGTACAACGCGACATTTGTCTACGTTGAATGATAGGGCGTACTGAACTGACCAGTTCGATACTGTGTTAATATCGCATTGGAGCCGTTCATGGTCGTCCGGTCTTCTGCTCCTATGCTCTTGATATCATCAGCGAAAAATAGGAAATCGGAAGCAATTGATCTCGCCAAATCGTTGATGAACACCAGGAATAGATGAGGTCCAAGAATCGAGCCTTGTGGCACACCACACACCACATCAATTGTATCAGACAATTATTCTCGGACTGTCACATCTAGCCGTCGTTCTTTTAGAAGGTTGCTATTCGAACTCAGGATTGTGTCTTTAGTGCCGTAATTCCGAAGCTTCTGAAAAAGAATGCGATGGTCTAATCGATCAAACGCTTTTGAAAAGTCCAGGTAGATGACATCGACTCCTACTCCATCATCAACAGCTTCAGTCCAGCTATTACGTGCAAATAATAGGTTAGTGTTAAACGAATGCTGTTGACGAAAGCCACATTGAACTGGAGTTATTAAGTTGTGGCTTTCCAGATACTGCATCAGCGCATCTGCGATGATTGATTTCATCATTTTGGATAGTACGGGAAGTAGTGTTATTGGACGATAGTTGGCAGGATCAGTGCGGCTATATCCTTTATGGATAGGAGTGATGATCGCTCGCTCCCATACTGGTGGAATACCGTTCTAGATATCGCTGACAGAAAAGCAGCCAGTGGTTGCACTAGATCACTAGCTGCTACCTGCAGAGCCCTTGGTAGGATGTTGTCGGCTCCGGGAGAATTGTGGATACGGAAGGATAACAAGTTCTTCAACACAGCTTCCGCTGTGAAGGTGACGTTGCCTAAACCAGATGATGGAGTATTAGAAATGAAGAGAATGTTTTAGCTCGTTACCTGCTGGAAAGTTTGGAAGTATTGAAACCGTAGGAGATCAGATGCTTCCATTGCCCATCATGTGCACCCATCAGCCGTGGCTAGTGCTGGAACCCCCGCTTCACCTTTCGAAGGCCGTTAACGTGCCTGTACAGAAGTTTGCGTTTCGTGCAGAATCGCTTCATTAACTCCTGCTGATGAGTGACCATGTCTGTGCGGATCAGTTTCACACAGAAGTTACGATGTGTCACGTATGCAGTCCAGGTTTCGGAATTCGAGCATTTCTGGTGATCTCGCCATGCCAAATCCCTCCGGGACACACATTTACGTGTTCTGCTCCTCAGAAATGACTTATGCTTGTTTTTGGGTTGGAAGGACTTTTGTTCCGATGCGTGCGCAACCAGTGTGCTAAACGTCCTTGTAAAGGTTTCCCAGGCAAAAGCTGGGGGCATTCAGTTAAGTAAGGCCAAGAGGTATCCTTAACAAGATAACACATCGTAGTGCGTGACAGTGTGCACTTTATCATGCTCTTTTTCAGGGTACTCCGCATGGCATATATAGTCAAAGAGTAGAGTAACATGATCACTACGACCCAGTGGTGTGCTTGTAACTATCCCATCAACCATGAGTTCTTCGTTATTTAGCACAAGATCCAGCATCGACGGCTTGTTAGCAGTTCGAAATCTGGTGGGAGAGGTTACGTGGTTGTACATAGGGTGGCTAGCAATTAACTCTTGCAAGCAGGCTTTAAACAGCATACCGTCGGTTGCTAGTGTTTCTACGTCGTGCACGTTAAAGTCTCCAGCGATAAGAATGTGGGTGCGAGAATTGTTGAAAGTAAACTGAAAGACGTGCTCCAGTTTGGAGTCCATTTCCGATGTTGAGTTTGGTGGGCGATAAAACACGGCTAGTAGATATGTGTCAATGTTACCCAACCAAAGGCGGCACCCAAGCGAATCAGGAGCTCGGATTTGCAAGTGATCGATAACTTCACATCGGTGGTTTGTATTATAGTAACGAATCAAACTGCCACCCCTTCCGGTTCTATCCGTCCGAAGCAGCGACATACCGGGTACATTGATCCCAGAATCGGTTATCTCAGGGTTTAAGGATGTCTGTAATCATGACGAGTTCCTGCGGTTGTGAGGCCTGGACTTCTCTAAGTTCGGCCAACTTGCTTAGAAGGCCTTGGGCATTTGTGCACATGCAAGATAGGGCTTCTGTTGTTAGGAGTGCGTTGACGGATGTCAACTTTGTGTTACCTTTTAAGTCGGCCATTAATCGAGTTTTGGTTTATGAAGTTCAGTCAAGTTGCATGGCATTATTGAGCGTTCCTGAAGAGAAGTTTCACTCGTGCTGTGTTCTGTCCTCTTGTGTGCTGTGGGTGTTGTTGTGTTGGTCTCTCTGCAGGACTGTGCAGATAAATAATTTGCAGCGTGTGCAAGTTCCATCGAATTGCATATAGCTAATGGTCGTTCGCCTGCTGCCTTTAGCCGGACCTATGTTGTCAACCTGGCTTGAAACTTTAACCTGATATCCAACAGAATATTCATCATTCCCTCGGTGTGTAATATTACTTTCATTAGCCTTGGACTGCAGCCCTTATATTTAGGTGATGACGGAACGCTTGTGAGAGATTTGGTAATAACATTGTCAACAGAGATTGTTTCGCGGATGTAGCACCACTGCTCTCGTGTGTTTTGCGCATCGTGATCAGAAGAATGTAGAAGTAACGTACGTTAGAAAGGCTTTCCATTGTTGACTCACAAAATCATTTGAACTAAATTTCCTTGGTATCCCAAGCGACCATACTGTTTGGTCAGCTTTAGCTAAAGACCAGTGAGTTAAGCTTCGCGTTTCGGTTTAAGAAGTTGACAAAGATTTGCTTGGGACTCCACAGTGCCCCATGCGTCAGTGTCGAATCAAAGTGAATTCGCTGATGCAATTCAAGGTAGACCCCAGCGATTTGTTGC